AACAGAGAAACCGAATGAAACGTGAGGAGTTTCGTTGAACGTTGCTGTAACCAACCAACCACACTTTCATCGCCTTTGGACATTCGTGTTCGTGTTGCCTCCAAGCGTTGCACGTGATGTTTCACACGTGTTACGCCGTAGATTTTCAACAAATGGAACGACGAGTTAAATAAAATATAAATTACCTGTTTAGTTAGCCGATAGAGGATCATCGGCGTATTTAGGTGTGTATTGTGGTAATAACGGTGGAGGTTACGTTAACCCTCGGAAGGCGAATGGTTTTAGACCAGGGGTCGGCAAACTTTTTTTCTGGAGGGCCAGATACTAAATACACCTATCCCCCGATTTACATGGTACTTTATTTACACGATTTCACTTTTACACGGTTTTCAAAATAACGGCTTTTCAGAAATATAAACTGTTAAAAATAAAAGTTTATGCTGCGCACATATTTGTACAGTCATGTTTTAGTACCGTTCGTTTGTTAACACTGGCATTAAACCAAAAAATGAACGGAATTTCCCCCTTTTTTGCACACAAAAAGCATTCATATTGTAACGTAAAGTTTGCTGCCGCCGCGGATCTTTCATTGGCGACCGGCTATTTTCGCCTTCGTCGATCGCTCGCTCGAAACTAAACCCTGACCCTGAATATTTTTTCTTTTTCATTTTTATTTTATTTTCATTTTACATTTAAAATAATGAATTTAATTCAATCACTGACTAAATTATGCGCATTTTCTTTTTTCCCCGATTTACACGGTTTTTCATACAAAAAGCCATGATTTCGATTTGCACGGTATTCTGAGGAACCGATCATCCGTGGAAATCGGGGGACAGGTGTACCTTTTGGCTTTGTGGGCCAAGAGAGAAAATTGAGATTATTACGTATGTGGGGCGGTCTAGCGTAGCGGTAGCGAGACAAAAGCTACCGAAAGACGACGGCTCTGCGTCTGTCGTGAGCGCGAGCGTGTGCGAATCGTGTGAGAGCGGTGTTTCGATGAGGCGCGAGGTGAGGTGAGGCTGTTTTCTTCGCGATCCCGACTAATTGCAGCTTTTTCAACAATTTTTTACACGTCATCTAGTAAACTAGTCTTTCTAACTTCTCAAAAAACCTCAAGTCGTTTGGCCCAATTTTAAAAAAGTTATTCCATCTTATAGGGCGTATGAATGCTTTTTTCGGCCACTGTAGGTAGTTAACTACAGATGAAAATTTTTTCACAACGTTATACTACGTAGCATGGTATTCGTTAAAACAGTTGGAACACATTTCTGGTGATTTTGGACAATTGGGACAATATGTTGATCTTTTCCTGGCGTTCGAGAATTTGTCTCTTCTTCTGGTAACATAGAACGCAAGTTCCAGCTAATCGCTCTGTTTACGTTCTTGCGCTCCGACTATCGGATTTGGGAGAAATTCGACCGATTCACGCTGAGCGACGAGCGTGATAAACCGTGGCCCGCTAGGAAATTCTCAGAAATGAAGAAAATTTCATTTATACTCAATGGTGAAATTGAAACGAACGTTGAAAATAAAATTGTGACGTTTGTAGTACAATTTCGGAACCTTTGATTTCTCTTTTAGTTAAATATTAGAATTTGAATATTTTGAATTTAAGTGTCTGAATTGTAAATAATTCAGCGTTTGTTTGGAATATTCAGAATTTATAAAGAAAATACTCTTTAATAATTCTTACTTTGTACCTATTTGTCCAGAGTTGGCTATTCTTTTATATTTACTCATCGTTGCAGAGTGGCTCATAAACGAAGACGTAAAATGCTCGCTCGGTGAACATTTTCTAAGTGTAGTTTGTGAACAGTGGTCACTTTCATTCTACAGCCTGGCCTTTTAATTTATTATCTCGCCAGACCGAAAAATCACTTCCGCATTTGCGTAATATGAATGTAACGCCACGTTCCGTGTATGTTACGCCGCGACATGTGGTAATTCTTACGTGACGCTTCTATCTTATCGACTGTTCAGTCGACAATAAAAAGATCCGACCCTTCGATCTAAATCGAAGATCGAACACAAAATAATCTCCCTTCGGTATACTCATGACATAACAACTAACTATTGACCCTCTAATCGAATATAATCTTGAACCGTATCGCTGCTTAACAGTGATAATGACATAACTCGAAAAATGTAGGCAAAGTTGGAAATGGGACCCGATTGCAATACGGGGCTTCAGTGCGTGCGTCACCAATAAGTGACGATCGGCGGCGAACTGCCGGTCTCTTAGTGAGAGACTAAAATGAAAACTTTGTGTTTCGATCAAGAAACTGGTCCTTCGAAGCCTTAGACCATTAGTCAGCACACACTTGCAAAAACCGGCAAAGCTTGAACGATCGAAAGATCAATCGCAAGCCCTAACAATTGACGTTTTTTTGAATTATGCCACTATGAATGTCAACCAGCGATACGTAAAGCTGTTACGCTAAAATTCAGAAATAAGCGTGTTTTCCCTTTCATACGTCAAATATTTTTAAGGGGTCTTCCTGTTGTGACGGCTGAGAGAAACTTAATTTTTCGGAAATTTAAAACGAAGCAAGTGCTACACGTATCCTTTTGCAAATTTGTGTGTTTATTCTATCGTCTTTTAAGAACACGAAAATATTTTTTATAAGTGAAACTATCCGTTTGTTGTAAAATAGGAGCACCGTGAAGAGAGCGTCTTGGAAAATATCCTTCCCGATGGCTGACACGATATCAGACGTTGTACTTATCCAAAATACAGAATGCAAACGTATTCTTAATCTGTATACGTGTGGCTATCGTCTGAACCAGAATAATAAAAAAATATTGAGAAATGGCAAGGTTTCAGAGAAATTGCTTTCGATTTTAGCAAAAAGAACGATGGTTTTTTGACCGCAAAGACTTGCACAATTCTAGTTCAAACGATAAAGCAACATGTACTGAATATACCTGACAAATTTCGAGTGGATCGGACTTCTGGTCTTTTCGCAATCATGTCAGCCAGTTTCAAAAATGCTGTTTCGAGAAAAACGCGTTCAAAGTTTTAATTACAGTTTAAGACTATATAAAACCGCTTCCTTCGAAGGCATATACCTCTGCCAATTTTCAGAATTAAGCTTTAAAACTTCCTGGACGTATTTTCGAGATGTTAAACTATAAGAAAATGCAAAAAAAAGAAATGGATTTTTCTAATCCGTCACAGTAGGAAGACCCCTTAAGTGAAGTGTCTTTTAAATAATAATAATCTTCTAAATAATAACAATAATAGTTCTCCAGGCCGTGAATGTCCTAAATCTTTGAAGTGTCGTTTTGTAATAGTAACACTTTCTACATGCTTCATATCAGTGTATTACATAAACAAACGTAGTCAAAACAGAAAAAATAACGAAGAAAAAATTTGTCAACCAAAAATGACTCTTCCTTGGGCTGACCTTAAACCTTTCAATACCTTAGGTGTTCTAGGATTAAATAATTCCTACGAAACAACACACTCTGTTAAGAACGATCCTCGACAACCCTCTGCATCCGGCAAATCTCCCATCTAACCCCTCTAAACTCACCCCAATCCTCTTCGTCAGCCCCTCTATCGTTCCCTTCGCAAACCACATCCTCCCTGCAAGCTACTTCTTATCCCTTCGTGTTCCCTTAGTCCCTCTGTTTACCGAATCTTGTCTTCGGGCGTGTCTTCGAGCGTCAACAAACACCCTCGAACCCTCGCGAAACAATCCACCCAGTAAGTTTCACGCGAGAGAAACCGGTAGGAGTGTCCTAGCCACCCTAAATCATCCACCCTGATCCTGTCGTCTGCTTGATAACGAACAATCTCTCCCTTATTCATGGTATCCTGGTAATTCCCGATGGGATCGATAGCTTACGTGACACTGGCCTGGTCAATCTGATTGAATCCCCTTCACCAATGGCCTCGAAAGGGGCTGGGAAAGATGGTCGGATTGATTGGAAATGGGAAAAGGTTCTCATCGAAGAGGGAGTTCCAGTGAAATGGAGGGATGATGCACGGCGATGGCTGCAGAATCTTCCTGTTTCAACGTGGAGAGGTTGGAAGTGTGGATATTGTGCTTAGACCTTGCATGATTTTTTTGGGGATATTTTCAGTTTTACAGCTCTGAGGAGAGATTCAGTCAATTTTTGAGTGTTTGAAGAAAACTGTTTTGATAGTTTTTAGGGTGTAACGTCAAACGTATTGTTGATATTTTGAGTTTCATAGGTTAAGAAGAATTTGAGTCAATTTTTGAGTGTTTGAAGAAAATTGTTTTGGTAATTTTTAGGGTGTAATATCAAACGTGTTGTTGATATTTTGAGTTTCGTAGTTTGAGAAGAAATTGAATCAATTTTTGAGTGTTTGAAGAAAATTGTTTTGGCAATTTTTAGAGTGTAACGGTTTGAAGAAAACTGTTTTGATAATTTTTAGGGTGTAATATCAAACGTGTTGTTGATATTTTGAGTTTCGTAGGTTGAGAAGAAATTGAGTCAATTTTTGAGTGTTTGAAGAAAATTGTTTTGGCAATTTTTAGGGTGTAACGTCAAACGTGTTGTTGATATTTTGAGTTTTGTAGTTTGAGAAGAAATTGAGTCAATTTTTGAGTGTTTGAAGAAAATTGTTTTAGTGATTTTTATGGTACAACGTCAAACGTGTTGTTGATATTTTGAGTTTCATAGGTTGAGAAGAAATTGAGTCAATTTTTGAGTGTTTGAAGAAAATTGGATCGATGGTTTTTGAGATATGATGTTAAATGTATTGTTTATACTTGGAGGATGGTATTGCTTATTTAGTTTTTTAACATTTCTCGTATAAGCCACTGAAAATTATTATTTTCGCGGTCCATAAGATATACAGATATTTTGAGTTTCGTAGGTTGAGAAGAAATTGAGTCAATTTTTGAGTGTTTGAAGAAAATTGTTTTGGCAATTTTTAGGGTGTAACGTCAAACGTGTTGTTGATATTTTGAGTTTCGTAGTTTGAGAAGAAATTCAATCAATTTTTGAGTGTTTGAAGAAAATTGGATCGATGGTTTTTGAGATATGATGTTAAATGTATTGTTTATACTTGGAGGATGGTATTGCTTATTTAGTTTTTTAACATTTCTCGTATAAGCCACTGAAAATTATTATTTTCGCGGTCCATAAGATATACATATAGTCCAGAGAAAGTTCGTGAATTGGTTTAATTTATTATCGAATGTAACGCAGGGTGAGAATTTTTGTGTTAGAGATTCTGCGAGAGGGAGAAATAGCTAATAGTTACAGAAATTTTAATTATTACTGCAAAGTCTTTAATAATTATTAAAATTTTCAATTATTGTTCTCGTAAGAAGATTATTTTTCTTCTTGACATTTCCTCACTTTTTGACTGACTTAGGGATGAGTTATCATTTCGAAGAAAAATATTAGAATGACACTGTTATTAAAATCGAAGCTTAGTATTGTTGCTATTTTCACTGGCTTCGTTTTCCATAAACTGTGCTGTTTAATGAAAGGTTGTGAATTCGTTGAATTTATTATTGAAAGTATAGTAGGCTGAAAATTTGTCTCCATTGTCTTCTTTGTATAAATAAACAGCTATGGTGGTACGAGAAAATTTTTATACCTAATTCAAATAATTTCACAGGATGAATAAGGTAGAAGAAACATTTTTTTGCTGCAAAAAATGGCGAGAAATGAAAGAAGGTTTCACATTTGATTAAAAATTTTAGAATCCAAAGCCATTTTGAGGCCACCTTATTACGCATGTTTTAATGCACCTCGATGTTTGCTACAACATACAGTAGAAACAAATATATAACCGGTTCGAAACCATTTAAATCATGCATAAAAATGTTCTCGTACCATTGTAGCTATTTAGAGAAAATTTCTATTTAACTTCATCATGTACACATTTGTTTATTACTCCTATTATTCTCGTAGCTGTTTAATTTCATTCATGTATACATTTGTTTATTATTCCTATTATTCTCGAATCTAGCACTCACAATCTCTCCGTTCGGCGTTCTGTAAATATTCTATCGTATTTTCGTTAAATTTCGTTGTACTTGTTTATAACAGTTATTCGCGGAACAAAATGGCCGCGAGTCACGCATTTTCGGCCGTTCTTCTCTTGCTTGAACTGTTACCCTGATCATTTCTGATTCGATCGGCTATCTTCGTACGTCTCCGTTCGTTCCACACTGCTGGTGGGGCTAATTTTATTCGACTCGATTGATCGTCCCGCTAACACGCGTCAAAATAAGTGAAATGAGACAACCGTGATGTCAGACGCGCGATCGCGCGAGTTCAACGCTGAATATTCCAGTAGAAACGATTCTCGCCGCGGTGATTTCGTAAACGATATCGATTAAAACGAAAGTTTTGCACGATAATTTTCATTTATTTTTGTAACTTTGTCGTTATAGGCGAGATTGGAAAATTCGTTCACGTGATTCTTCGATTGTAATTATTAATTATTGTGATATCAATTGTGTCGGCAAATTTTTAATGATACTTTATTGATAAATTGTATGATAATTGTAATTTTAACACGTTGACTGCCGCGCGCATTTTACATGGTTTGCTAATGGCGCCAACGTGAATTTTTTATTATGCGACGCCGGTCACCGGTGACCCCACGGCGCTGCAGCCAAGTCGAGTGCGGGTCACCGGTGACCCCCATGGCAGTCAATGTGTTAACGAATCTTTTTTGAGACTGTGTTATTGGTTACACACGTAGATGCTTTCAAGTGTTGAAATTTATAGTTATCGATTGATTATTATTATTAAACATCCGGAGCTCATAAATTTTCTAAATAAGCCCGAATAATTGTGACAGTGATGAAATAATAGATTGTAGAAATTGAATACACTCGTAGAAAGGAGAAAAGAATAATTGAATAGGAAAATTATTGTTAAAACAATGTGTCGCGTAGTTTTTAACAATATTTGTAATATAATTAAGTTTCTGATTTTCGAGATTTATAATTGGATATTTATTATGATACTTTGTTAATGAATTATAATAATAGTAGATTACTCAAATGTTAACGAATTATTTTGTTCAGGACTGTGGTATTAATATGATATAACGTATTGTTGCGAGCACCGTGTATATACTCGTAGCCTACTGGTGTTCGCTCCGGAATTGGTAAAAAACGGTCGGACCTTACCGACCGAGGAATATTGATTCAACAGTCTCTGTTCTTAACCGAGATTGACTGAGGTACTTGTACGATTGTCGATAAGTGTTAAGAGGTGTTTGTGTTCAAGTTATTAAGGAGTTTAGTTATATAGATAGTTATTAAATATGCCGAACGAAGGGGAAGCACAGAAGGCAGGTTGCAATGTTTCTCTAAAGAAACTACTCCCATATACAATATGTGTTAATTTTCTTAACCCTTTCGCAACTAGCGCCGGTTATATCCGGTATCCACTAAATGCTTCACACTGGCTAACGCCGGTTATATCCGGCATCCACTACATGCTTCACACTGGCAAGCGCCGATTATAGCCGGCATCCACTAAATGCTTCACACTGGCTAGCGTCGGTTATATCCGGCATCCACTACATGCTTCACACTGGCAAGCGCCGATTATAGCCGGCATCCACTAAATGCTTCACACTGGCTAGCGTCGGTTATATCCGGCATCCACTACATGCTTCACACTGGCAAGCGCCGATTATAGCCGGCATCCACTAAATGCTTCACACTGGCTAGCGTCGGTTATATCCGGCATCCACTACATGCTTCACACTGGCAAGCGCCGATTATAGCCGGCATCCACTAAATGCTTCACACTGGCTAGCGTCGGTTATATCCGGCATCCACTACATGCTTCACACTGGCAAGCGCCGATTATAGCCGGCATCCACTAAATGCTTCACACTGGCTAGCGTCGGTTATATCCGGCATCCACTACATGCTTCACACTGGCAAGCGCCGATTATAGCCGGCATCCACTAAGCGCGTCGCATTGGCTGGCGCCTCGACAACTCAAAGCGAAGATTTATTTTAAAATACAGAACAAGGCCTCAGCAACATTCCCTTTATTCAATATACCCTTAAGTCCTCTGCTGTTCCAACGAAATCCTCTAAGATTTTACACGGACATACTGGGCGGTCCAAAAACGCGAGACACTCATGGTGTGCACTAATGGCACAACGACCTGTCCGCTAGTGGCTGGTACTGATGCTTAGTTCCGCCGTCGCGAAAGGGTTAAGGGGGTATTCTGTTTTTGAACTTTCAAAAAATCAATTTCTTTTTTCGCATTTCCTTAAAGTATATGTGTGCGAAAGGATTTGTTTGCATTCGTGAAATTAATTTAGTTCCGTTTAGTACCGTGACGAAATGGATAGACGAATCTTTAAACGCGTTTTTCTCGAAACCTGATTTTTCCAAACGGTTCACGCGATATCTCGAGTTCTAGTTTATCGATCGACTTGAAATTTGTAGAGAATCTTCGGGATACATCTTGCTATCGCGTGAACCAAAATTTTTAACATCCGTCGCTTCTTTCTTATTCTTTTAATACGTTGAAGACGGCAAAATATGAGAAAATGCTGTCATTTTGTGAATAATCAGTATTTTTATTTTATTTTCGTTCAGATCATAGCCAGATTTATACCGATTAAGATTCTTCCTCATTTTTTAATTTTAAATCAGCAGAAGGCCAGGAATCACGTAAACAGTGAACACACCTTTTGTAAAGCACACTCTATAAAACAAACTATATCTCCTGTAATTTTGATTGTTTTTACTTCAAAAAAATATATTACGTATTTGAAATACCCATAAATGTATGTGCAAAACTCTACCGCAAAAAGTTGAACGGTTCTTTTGAAAAAAAATCCTAAAGATTGCTTAAAAGATCGCATTCAAAACCAGAATACCCCCTTAAGCGTTCTCTTAAGCAACCTGCGTATTCACGTGAAAGAAAGTATGAATATAGTAGATAATCAACTCACCGGTGATTCTTCCAAGATTGTACTGATACTTCTGTCTGAGTGTGTAACCAACGTAGCCACATGTGTGTGCACCAAGGCTGTGTCCTATGCAGTGAATCTTCGCTGGATCTATTCCTCCAACCTTAATTAACTGATAAGTTAAACGAGCTGTCATCGCGCCAACTAATCTTGTATTTGCCACAGCCTGAGTGTACGGTGGACCTGCTCCACCGATCCAATTCACGATCACCACGTTACAATCTTCTCTTATCAACAATTCCTGCTTTGTTCTCTGTAAAAAGACATTTTTTTAAATGAAAAATATGGAATGAAGTTTGTTCATACGAAACTTGTTTTTCGAGAAAATTCAAGCTGTGAAAGGATCTTCTCCTTCACAATTCTCAGAATAAACTCTATCTTTTTAATCTCGCTCCATGAATAACCGAGTTGTTTACAAAATCATTTATTTGTTAAAGTATTCTTCTACATTTTCAACTTATTTTTTTTTTATAAATACTTCTCTTAACTGTTGTGTAATACCATATTTCTTTTTTATATTATTCATAAGTATCAATTTTTCTTGCACTCGAAATAACAAATTTTCACAATTTCAGTGTTAATAAAGTTGGCAAAAAATGATACGGCGCGAGGTACATACAGTGTGCGACAAAGAAAAGGAAAAAATCACGTACCAAGACCCACGAGTTATCACCATTGTCGAGGAATCCGTGGATAATGAGATAAAGTTGACTCTTCTTCCTGAACGGTGCTTCGTGAATAGTTTCAAACTTGTCGATTTTCAACTCTGACGGTTTCCGCGTCAGGACGTCGCGATTGAAGAAAATGTAGCGAGGATTTATGCTGTCTGGACGATCTGGAAACGTGGACACTGGTCTGTTCTCTCCGGACCACGGTGAACCGATGTAGAAACAACCATAAGGATCGAAGCATCGCCACATGTACCATTCTGTGAAACGAACGAAGAATGGAAAAGGAGAAAATCACGAAACGTATAATGTTTCAACGAAAAGAGAAATGATCGTTTTAACGGAAAAAGTACGAGTGGACGTTTGATTAAAAAACACTGGAGTAAGTAAGTAAGTAAAATGTCGAATCGATGGAAACATTAAGAATTTTATAGACGAAGAAGGAAGTAATTTTATAAATTTGAAATTCTCGATGAAACGCAAACCAGAGAAAAAAGGAAACAGTAAAATCAATTCCTTAACCCTAGATCGGTCTTCGGGTCTCTTTTGACCCACCGCCTTTTTATATTCTTAGTCATGTTTGCTGTTATCAAGTTTACGTTCCTTGACATTATTTTAAACGTTTATTGTCCAGGTGCATATGTCGCGTTGGAAAGAAAAATTATTACACATACACTACCGGCCAAATGTTTGGAATCAGTGTGCATTACAAGTTATACAAAAATTTCCAGAATAAAGTTAGCAATTTGAAGAATATTTTAACCAATACTTCCTCGCTCAAATCAATCGAAATAAGGTAAAATACTATCGATCTCCGCAACATCGATTTCAAATCTATAAAAAATTAGCAGCGGATTCAATTTTACCGTAAATCAGCAGGTGATTCGAAACTTTTGGCCGGTAGTGTAAGGTCTTAGGTCCTTTTTCACCCAAAAGTCTTAAGTGTACGTGTGTAGGTGTAGGTGTAAGTGTTAAGTGTGTAGGAGAATTCTCAGTCCGTAGACAGTGCTCTTACCATCAAGTAGAAAAGCGAACCTTCCTTGTGTCTAATAAAAGTTTATAGTTTAAAATAAGGATTATTAATTATTTAACAACCAATAACTCCCATAATCCAATAAGAATGTCATCGAAGAATGCGTATGCCAAAAGTGGTTTGCGAGATTTCGTTCCGGGGATTTTTCACTTTACGATTCACCACTCTCTGGTCAACCACAAGAGATTGCCAACGAACAAAGAAAAAATAATCCTCGGTACACGACACGGGAAGTGGCATAGGAGCTCCAAGTATCAAAAGCAACCGTAAAACCACACGAACTTTCTGGCCAACCCAATATCATTTCATTATTAACTAAACTTACCAATTTCGTGATTAATATTTAATCAGGATTACTTGAATTTTAATCAGTTCCATAAATCACTTTCGTCACTTATCCATAAATCAAATTTAACCTATATAGTGTTTGCCGCCCTAAAGAGGACTTTGGGGTTCCTCAGACTTCTGTCTTATACCTCCGTTCAGCAGAAAATCTACACAACTAGCTAGTCACCGCCAGGAGACGGGCGATGGAAAAATTCAGCCACGCCGCTGAGCGTTTTCAGCGTATGAGCCCTTTCGTTACGTTGTCAGTCAAACCGAGCAAATACCCCGACTGCCACCGCATCTACGGGGAACCACGGGAAGGCGGACTCACCAGTACACGCAAGTACTGCGCTCTGACCCTGTTACAGGCGAAGGATCGTGAGGGAAGGTAATGGTTAGGATGGACGAGGAGATGTTGGTGACAAAGGAGAGGAAAGGTGTTGTCGTTTTGGCACTCCTAAAGAGTAGCCTGCACACCCTCACGATTGCGCTCACCGGGCTGCTAAAGCTCAGGGTGGTGGGGTTGCTAATTCCAGCGGGAAATGGCATCCGCCCCTTGCCATGCCGCGTGCCAAGCAGTCCGGTACCCCGTTCCGCAAGAAGGCCTTACACCTTACTTTGGAACTTCGCCCAGGATTGGCCGCAGCGTAGTGCGTTCGAAGCTCAGGATACCGGAGGTTTGCTAGACCCCGGGTGTTCGAAAACACCACCCTGCGGCCAATCAAATTTAACCTGTAGCGGCCCATGCAGCGCGCACGGCGCCACATTGTAAACACCATCGAGACTGCGAGACGCACGCAACGGACGTGTCTTTCGCCGTTGTCGATGTCGCGGCGGGCCGATAAAGGATGGCTGTCCTGGGAGACACTTGAGATCCGTTCCGAGGGCAGCCAGGATCCCGACCGACGACGCGAAGGGATTCAACCGCCGAATGTCGCACGAGCGACATCAGACGTCTCGTCTGGGTTTTCGGAAATAAAAGATTTCAAGCGCGAGCACGAGTATAGTCGGGGCCACGATATAGCGAGGTCGTAAAATCGGTTAGGCGTCAAAGTAAACATGTTTTAGCTGCCGGGACCCCGAAATTGACAGAAATACGAGCAGATAAGTACTTGAAACCATGGTCAGGACCGTACAAAGAATTCTTGTATCCAGCGAAAGTCAAACTGATTCTAATATATTTACTGAAAACTGCATGCAGCTAGGAGAAATTAGGGTTTCTCCCTCTGGGGGAAGCCGCTTTTGGAAGTACGGTTACAAGTAAAGGTCTTATTGAGGTCTTTAACATCTTCATTTACCTGCTCGTGTTATATACAGATAGAAAATGCAAAAGGATTGTGTAGCTTTAATATTAACATATTTTCCATTTGTAAATGAAATACCATTTTCTACTTGAAGTACCAAATCATATTCGTTTATTGTTGGAACCCTCAAACAGACTGCAACACACGGCCTTGAGTGCCGCAACATCAATCGATGCCGATTCGCGAGAGTTTAATTTACGACCTCGCTATATCGTGGCCCCAACTATACGTCTATTCTCCCGTCACCCACAAACCCATTTCACCAATTTAATCGATCGTTAAATTTCATCAATCGGGAATATAAAAAATGAAATTTGGTCAATTTGATCGCGAATAATTAATTGAAAATTTAGATTTCCTCAATGGAGCAATTGCTGAATGTCGTTCGAATTCGAATCGTCAGCATTTTCCATCTCGCGTTAATCCATAAATAAAGAAATTCCTTGCTTCCAACTTACTTCACTTCTACCTATGCATATGTAAGAGTAGTAGATCGATAATTGGTATCGGAAATTAGAAACATGGCCGTGATTATTCCAAACGCTTGTATCTGTCGGCTGCTGTGGCGTAGTATCGCGTAGTGTCGGCTTTAGTATCATTGTTTACAATAGACCGACGTTGTAACAAACGAATTTATTTGCTCGCCAGGGGTTATCTCGCGTTTAACATTTTATCTCTGCACGATGCACTCTATCAGTTCCTCGAAGGCTCCGCGACTGTTTTGTCTTCGAACTGGATTAACGATTAGGGTACCGATCATGGTTGCACGCACGTGACTACCGCGATTCAACGCACGTTCCTCCATTCGTTCCATAATAATTGCAGAAAAAGCAGAAATTATGGAACATGTTCGAGCAAACGTGGAGCTTTCTAACGTTAGAAAGTCAAAGGCTGTTGTTAAAATTAGAAGCAAGCAGAGATATAACGTACAATTGAGAATCGTTAATATGTCCATAGATCGTTTTCTTTTATTAGCCGTTCACGTCTCGTATGAGTAATTGTATCGCGTTCTGGATGTCTATTGACGTAAAAGCTCGAGAGAAATCTCGTGCCGGGGCATATTAATGCGAGAGATGATAATTCACGAGGAATACATATCTGCTCTTCGCGAGAATAACGTTTATCATTCGCTACGTTATAAAGTGTCACTTCCCTTTTTTTCTCTTCAACGAAAACTCGACACACTTCGAGCATGTTTTCGCAAAGCGAACTCGAGTGTTAAATGCTCGATATTTATTTCGGGCGGAGTTTGGTCGTAGAAATTGCGAGCCACTGAATTTGGTAGAATTTGTTTCTTCCGAATGTAAGTCGAGAAAATTCGGGAAATTGGAGAAAATTCATTAGGTTTCAATGGGTTAAGTTAAACTGTGTGTGTGTGTAAAAATTTTAACCTACTAACTTCAGTGGAGTTCTTTTTCTTTTTCAATATCGACTTCCGAACGACAGTCGAGAAAATTAAGAAACACGAAGAAAAATTTCTCAGGTTTCAAAGAGTGAAATATCAACATTTCAAATTACTAAACTCAGTGGAATTCTTTTTCTTTCGGGGAAAGTCGAGAAAATTTAGAAAGAAAAATTGCTCAGGTTCCAAAGGGTTAAATTAAGCTGCGTATGAAAATTTTAAATTGCTAAACTCAGTGAAATTCTTTTCTTTCTTTTTTTTCAGATATTGACTTGCAAATGAAAGTCGAGGAAAAATTGCTCGGAATTCGGACTTAAGTAATTTTGTAAAACTCACTCGGTGAAGTTTTATTTATTTTTGAGATACTGACTTCCAAATGAAAGTCAAAGAAAACTTGCTCAAAATTTCAAAGATTAAGTAATTATAAAAAAATTGTAAGTAACTAAACTTAGTGAAATTCTTTTTCTGAGATGTTGACTTCCGAAAGAAAATCAAGGAAATGAGGAAAATCGAAGTAAAGTTGCTCTAAACTTAGCGAAATCACTTTTCAAATGGTTTCAAACAATTAAATACCAAAGCTTCGCTGAAGGAAACAAAAATTCCAATTTACTTACGATCCTCGAAATCAAACTGATTCTCCTCTTCCTCCGGCGACAACGTGGTCGTCGACACGTTGCTCTTCTCTACGCTATTGTTCAAAGCCTGAGAGCCCGTTCTCTCAGGTAACGTCGCCATCATGTTCGCGGTGAACGCGAGAATCAGCATCGTCTCGTTAATGAACATTTTGTACAATCCTCTCGATTACTCGAAATTACTCGACGAATAAAGCACAACGTGAACGATCAGTTTGCACGCTTTGTCGCATCTTCAGTGAACATCTTCAAAGAAAATCTCCTCCTCTTCTGTCTTCATGATTCTTCTTTCTTCAGATTTCAATGGAATTAATACGAACAGCGTAAAACAGTTCACTTGAAAATCCTCTCGAATTGTCGGCGAAGAAAGGTATTTATCAAAACTTGTCCCTAAGAGGAGCACACAAGAAGAATTTATCGTTGTTCAAGCAGTACACGAATTTTCACAAAATTGATAAAAAAAAAGAGTAGAAAGAAACACAGGAAGTTTTTGTGAAAAATCACATTAAAACGATGTTTCTTCGGTCTTGAAAGCCTCAATCCCGACGTCTAGACAACAGAAAGCGGTGATATTGGGGAAAAATCGATTGACGTAAATGGCGATAGCTCGGTGACGGATCGTTCGTTGCAAAATAAAAGCTGTCTGGCGGAGTATTTAACAGAGACGACCTTGATCTTCTTGAGAAAACTTGCTCGAAACGAGTTCAACGACGTCACAGGCTGTTTTTTCCCACGATTTTCCATGCTATTTTTCTTCCAGCGTCGAGTTGCGACGAATTCGCGATGACATCTTCTGAAATACGTTCGACATTCGTTATTTATAGAGAAGAGTGGGCAAAAATTGATTTTTAATAGAAATATTGTAATTACGACATGATCGATTGAAATGATTATCGCAACCTTTCAACGATGTTGCTAAATTAATTTCTAAAGAATGATTTTTTACGTACTTTTACTTTCAATAGATTTACGAGCAAGTGGAATAATTGTTCATGATTGTTCCACGCTAAGTGAAGAAAAGGCCTGTTGTTATTTGACAGTAAAGAAAGTAACGTCTTTGCTACTTGCACGATTCGATACTATCTATTGAAAACCAATTTTTTCAAATTAATTGGAATTTTTAACGCCTAAATGGAACCAGGAAAGCACTCTTTGAATTCGAATTTGAAAACTCCGGTGAATTTTCCTTTGTCTCTGGAATCGTTTAAAAACTGCATCCATTTAACAAACTCTCCGGAAAATAAATCACACAAATTTCTGTTTCACTAAAAATTCAAATTACACTTAAACAAGGTACCATTTGAAAAAATCCTCGATGCAACGTAAATGGAATTACCAAGAACCACTGAAAATCTCGAAAAAAAGTAATCATTTTTCAATAGAAATTCAACGCCGGTTAAATCAAGCTCAATTTTTCTCTTCACTCGCGAGATATGCGAACCTCGTATTTATGAGACGAAAAAGTACAAGAAATTGCAAAAACAAAAATCTCGACTGAAGAAACTTTGTTTCTCTTACCTAAAATCACAATGTCCCGCGATATTTCACGCCGGTCGGCCGAATTTGGCCCCGAGTTTTCGCGGGAATAATTGCTCGAAGATTCAAAGTCACGGACAGTCGCTGAGGACCGTAGACGAGTTCACCGATCGAGCAAGCAACGTGCACTAATCACTGAAAAATGTGTACAGCTTCGCTTTATCGTGCCCCACTCCACTGTCTCGTCGCTCTGCTTTCCTTGGCCGGCGACAAAGTCGAGTTGAATGCGGAGAGCTTCCTCACGGAACCGGACGGACCACTCTAGACCCTCTGAAGCGGAGGTTATGTCTCCTCTTTCGGCTCACGGACGTGTTGCTTTCCTTCAGAAATATTTTTTTCCGGTGTACGTATTATACATTTCTAGCGATTTGTCGTAACAGAGAGTCTCTCGTGACGTTAAAGAATCGATGGAGGACTTGGGAAGCTGTAATTGATGGAATTGTTTAGTCGATTAGTGGATTATTTGAGAAACATTTTAAATATCAAGTCATCTTTCAAGTTGAAGATATTTTAATGAAAATCCAAGGAAATTCTATAGCGACGACATAATGGTCCTACCAAAAAGAAGAGAAAATAGGAAAAAGTTGTAGAATGGGAAGGCGCTTATGTTTTCTTTCTAAATCAAATTTAAAGGTTTTTTGGAGCTTATGGGATGACCTACATAATAGTGATAATGTAACACTGGAAGTTTTTTTTACAAAATTAGCGAATGGACGACTGGATCATTTGAAGACTATTCGGAGCAGTTTCTTGGGAATAAGATTGGGAATAATAATATTGGGAAGTTTTTGAAGTATTCGAATTAAAGATTAACGAATTTGATGGACGACTGGATTATTTGAGGAATATTTGAAGCAGTTTCTTGGGAGTAAGATTGGCAAGTTTTTGAAGTATTCGAATTTAAAATTAACGAATTTGATGGACGACCGATAATTAATATTTACTTTCATTTGATTAAGAAAGAAAATTAAAGAAAGGAATTAGGTCAAAGTTTAGAAATTTCTTAGAAGTTTGCTAGGGAAAAATACTTGAAGGGCTCTTTCCAAGCGTCCAGGTGTATGGTACCCCTTAACTGGTTCACGGAATCCAGACAGACAACTCTTTCTTGGACGTGAAACGTTCTGGAACAAACGACTCCGTTGAACTGTCCGCTGTCCTAATTCACGACTAATTAAGACTGATCAAAGGCGGTCGGACGCGCCTATCAATTTATGGTGGTTTATTGCTTGTACAGTTTGTTGACGCAGAAACAGCTTTAGCAAAAGCTTTTACGACGGAAGATTGCGCCAGATTGCACGACTTATGGCAACCGAAATGGAGTTGAGAAGTATTAGGTCGTACCGTAAGTTCGTGTCGAATTTTGTAATTTAGATCAATATTTCCAACGAGCCTTTAAGCTTCGTAAAAAAAAAGAAACGTAAGGATCTTGTTGTTCTACAACTTTTTCCTGTTTTTCTGGTAAGATCATTATGTCGTTGCTATAGAATTTGCTTGTAAATGTTTTTATAATATTTCTATGAATATAAGTATTCTAAATATATTTCGCTTACTTATGGGATGACCTTATAATTGACAGAAACTTACCAATTACTTCAAAAACATACCAATTATTTTCTATTTCGCACTGATTTATTCACAAGCTAACATTGGATATTGTAGTTTATCGTTTAAGAAAAACACTTTTTCCGAAGACAGATGAATTTGTTACAAGCCTTTGTTTGATATCATGGAAAAGGTACGATTTAGGTACCTTCTCTAGAAATACTAAATTTGCAAATCTAAATAATAATACAACTATGGATGGGCAAAGGAATCGTTTATTAATTCATTCTTATAAACATGCAATAAACAGTATTTAAAAAATTACACATTTAGAGTGCAAAAGGGTGAATTTGATTTGCAAAAGGGTGAATTCGATTTACAAGAAATTGAATTTGGGGTGCAAACAGTTGAATTTGATTTGCAAAAGGGTAATTTAATTTGCAAGAAGTTGAATTTAGAGTGCAAAAGAGTGAATTTAATTTGCAAAATGTTGAATTTAGAGTGCAAAAGGGTGAATTTAGTTTGCAAAAAGTTGAATTTAATTTGCAAAATGTTGAATCTGATTTGCAAAAGGGTGAATTTAATTTGTAGAAAGTTGAATTTGATTTGCAAAAGGGTGAATTTAATTTGCAAAAAGTTGAATTTAGAATGCAAAAGGGCGAGTTTAATTTGCAAAATGTTGAATTTAGAGTGCAAAAGGGTGAATTTAATTTGCAAAAAGTTGAATTTGATTTGCAAAATGTTGAATTTGATTTGCAAAAAGTTGAATTTAATTTGCAAAATGTTGAATTTGATTTGCAAAAGGGTGAATTTAATTTGCAAAAAGTTGAATTTAATTTGCAAAAGGGTGAATTTAATTTGCAAAAGGTTGAATTTAAAATGCAAAAGGGCGAGTTTAATTTGCAAAAGGTTGAATTTAAAATGCAAAAGGGCGAGTTTAATTTGCAAAGTGTTGAATTTAGAGTGCAAAAGGGTGAATTTGATTTGCAAAAAGTTGAATTTGATTTGCAAAATGTTGAATTTGATTTGCAAAAGGATGAATTTAATTTGCAGAAAGTTGAATTTGATTTGCAAAAAATTGAATTTGATTTGCAAAAGTGTGAATTTGATTTGCAAAAAATTGAATTTGCAATGCAAAACCTGTATTGTTAAGAGTAACTATAGTCAGCACTCCCCTAGCGAGAACAATTATCAGCCTCATGAAACTACATAAACACTCTGAACAAAGAAAGAAAGCCATTCACCGTGACACACAAAAAGGTCACATAGAAACCATAGAAAAGGTGGAGAGCTCCAGAGAAACCTGAATGAACGTGGCGAGCGATCGATATACGCGTGCCTCGAGGAGCGTCCTCGATCAATAGTCGCCGCGATGGGGGTTCCTTTCAAGCGTAGTTGCCCTGGTAAATCGAAACCAATTCACTTAACATCCCCCATCGGCGTTCAACCCCCCGCAGAAACCTCCTCCTATGGTATTATACCATCCTAATCGCGAACACCCCTCAGATGTCTCTCGTGTTTGCTCGGGGGATGTTGCAAAACCACCCTGAACGTCGCCAATCGACTCCTGACTGTTTCTGGGTGCTGGATAACCGAATCGTAAGAGGGTTGCATCGTGATTGCCCTGAAACCTGTGAATGACACCTCTGTTAGGGCTGTCAAAACGTCACAGTTGTCCCCTTTACACGGGGTTCAATTGTTCGGGGACGGAGGGTTTGGTACAGCGATCGTTCAAATGGCTCCTTTAGGCTGTTTGGGGATGTAGAAGCGGTTGAACGACGGGCTGAAGGGACATTCTTCGATTTCATCTGTAAATAGTTTATTTAATTGCAAATTTTTCAGCTATCTTCATCTTCGATTGCTAAATTCTAAATGACAATTGGTTAATTATTGATCAAAATTATCCGCGTATGTTGTTACTTACTTGGTGCAAAAATTCGTCGTTTTCGTGAGACGACGAATTTTTCAGAAATGTTAATTTGCAAACGGAAAAATACAGAAATATAATGCATACTTAGGTATAACAAATTGTAAATAAATAACGAAACATTGGATTTCTGATTTTCGAGGAAGTTTCCTAATTTTTTTTTTTCAGAAATCTTCGTTTTAAACGAGCCTTAAATTACTTATTTTTAGTTTTCCCGTTTTTTTATTGTAGTTGAAGTCTGATGTAGGTACAGTTTGTGTTCTGCACAGTCTGACAGGTGTATACAGTTTGTTACAGGTGTGTGCTTTAAAACGAATTTCATGGTTCCTTGGTAGGTTATGTAAAATA